CTTCAGGGTTGGTTTAGAGTAAAAGGAGATCAGCTTCGAAGCTCCTGTGTTCGCAGAAAACGCCTCAAGGGCCCTTAGAGCAGCCCCGGGTGCTCAGTTCCGCCGAGCGGAGATGGGCCTGTGGCTCTGCTGTCTGACTCCTGGTCCGTGACCGTCAGCACTCCGGGAACCTGGCCAATTCTTGTGTTCAGCCCAGAGTTACATGACTGAACTGATAACTGTCTATTTTAACACTTGCCGGGTGTTTTTCTTTTTTAATCCTCACCTGAGGATATTTTATTCCCTTTTATCTTCAGATAGAGTGAGAGGGGTGGATAGAGAGAGAGACAGAGAGAAACATCAACGTGAAAGAGAAACATTGACTGGCTGCCTCCCGCACGACCCTGCAACCTAGGTACATGCCCTTCACCAGAATTGAACCCGTGACTCTTTGGTCCGCGGGCCGACACTCTCACCGCTGAGCCACACCAGCCAAGGCACATGCCAGGTATTTTATAGACATGTTCTCTAGTTCTTTTCGCCCTCAAGATAGATGTTCTCTCTCTTCTGCAGATGAGAGGTCGGAGCACAGCCAGGCTAAGTCATTCACCCCGTGTCACACAGCCAGGAATGGCAGGGCTGGGATTCGAACAGATAGTCAATGCAGAGCCAGGACGCGAACCCAAATATGTTGGACTCCACCCAAATTGCCATATTGCTTCTCCCAGAAATTTGAGGCTTGAGAAATTTATGTATTTATTTATTTAGGTACGTGCCCCTAGCGGGAACTGAGCCCAGGACTCTCTGGTCCGCAGGCCAACACTCCAACCACTGAGCCAAACCAGCCAGGGCGAGAAATTGATTTATTTTTAATCCTCACTCGAGGACATTCTTCCATGTATCGTCAGATAGAGCGTGGGGGGATCGACACGAGAGGGCACATCGATCGGTTGCCTCCTGCACGACCCCGACCAGGGCTGGGAGCTGACCTGCAGCCAAGGAATGTGCCCTTGACCGAAATCGAACCCACCACTCTGTGGTCCTCTGCCCGAGGCTGTAACCGCTGAGCCGAACCGGCCAGGGTGAGACCTGAGAAAATTCTGATTCACACAGACGGAGATGGACTGGGGCGGGGGGGGGGTAAGGCGCGCGAGGACTGACGTGGTTACACGGGACACTTCGAGGGGCTCTTCCCCTCCCACCTTTTCCAGGCTCATCTGCTGAAATGAGGAAAAGCAGTTTCCTGGCTTCTGATGCCCTTTTCAGCCTCTGGACTTGCCCCACCACTGCGGCCCCAGGCTGTCTGCAGGCAGCCGGGCCTCAGAGGAGGCCAAAGCAGGGCAGCTCCCCTTCCTGCCTCCGCAGACCCCGAGGGCGGGTGCTCCGCAGGCCTGTGCTGGCCCAGGCAGCCGAGTCAGGAGGCCGCTGCCCCGCCCTCCCTGGGTCACCGAGGTGCAGGAGCAGACAGTGTGCAGTGTCCAACCACAGAATCACTCCTCAATCATGTCAGTGGTTAGTGCGACCAAGGAGAGATGCGGGTGCAACACCTCTCAGTGTGGGCCGGGCCTGGTCTGGGGCGCCAAGCAGAGCTTCCTGGACAGCTCTGAAGGATAGAGCTCACCAGGTAACAGGGGAAGAGCCGGGGCCCCGGTCCTGAGCTGGGGGACAGGTCTGTTCAGAGGGCCTTACGGAGGTTATCAGACTGCACAGTGTAGACGTGTTAGACCAAGAGTTTTGTTCCGGGTCCAAGAGCACTCGTGGCCCCTTTGCCGTCGTGGTCCACGTGAGAACCAGCTGTGGGGGGGAGCAGTGGAGGGCAGTGAATGGACTAAGATACTCGGGAGATAAAGGTGAGAGCGCTGAGCACTGCATTGGACAGAAAGGCGGCAGGAACAATACCCCGGTTTCCGGCTTGTAAAACTGGACGACAGAGAGAACACGCGCAGAGAGTTTGGTTGGGTCGGTAGGACTCCGAGGTCCGTTCGAGATACACAGAGTCTGCGGTTTGTGTGAAACACCCCTGTGAAGATCCGTTAAAGCTCAGAGGAGCGTCCAGGGTAGAAATGCCCCTCTGCGTCCTCAGTGGCATCCTGCGCTGCCCAGGGTGGTATCCACTCACTACCTGCAGCTGCTCGACATATTCATTCCCGTCAGCTAATTAGTGAACATGAAAGGAGCGATACGTTTTATTCCTCGGTCGTACCACATTTCGAAGTGCTCGGTAGCCAGGCGTGCCGCAGGGATGCCGTACTTGGACAGATATAAGCATTTCTGTCGCTGCAGAAATCCTCTCGAGGGACCTGCCGACTTCTCCTGGAATGGGACAGATAGCAAACATTTTTGGCTTTGTGAGTCACATGGTCTCTGTTGCAACTGCTGAACCCTGCCGAAGCACCTCAGGCACGGCAAACACTGAGCATGGCTGTGTCCCTGCGAAACATCCTTCACCAGTTACAGGGTGCCGACCAGGTCTGGCAGCGGCTGTAGTTAGTTGACCCCTGTCCTATCTGACGGGCTGGTGTAAATGATCGCCCGAGTCACAGGTGCAGATGGAATCACCGAGGAGGGGAGAACAGCCTCCAATGTTAAATGTTGGGCAGAAGTGTCCGGAAAGATAGGAGAAAACCCAGGGAAAGCCATTATGTCCCAGGAGCCAAGAAAAGGTGGGATTAAGTGTGTTGGATGCTTCAGGAGCTCAAGCCAAGCAGAGCTGAAGTTTTTGCGTTTGCTTGGTGTCCGGGGGGTGCTGGTTACTGAAAGAGGAGTCATTCCCATGGAGCTGGAGCAGAAGGAGGTTGAGGGGGTCGCAGAGCGGGTGAGGGGCGAGGACGTGGAGACATAAGTGCTCTGAGAACCTAGCTAGGACAAGGTGAGAGACAGCGGCCCTGGCCCCACCCACCACACCCAGTCACCTTTCCACCTGCCCCTCTCAGTCTCCGCTTGTCCTTCACTTTCTCTGCCATTGAAACAGTTCAGGTGCACTATACGTGCAGTAAAACGGACCCTTACCAGTGTATAAGTTCTATGGATTTTGACACACATACAGTCACTTGACATATAACTAACTGTAGACTCAAGATACAGAGGGTTTTGTCATCCTAATTCCCCATTCCCCTTGTAGTCACTCCTTCCATGACCGCTGGTCTGGCTGCTGTCCCCGGGGTTTTGCCTCTCTAAGAGCTGTCCTATCAGTGGAATTCTACAATGTATACATAACCTCTTGGGTCTGGCTTCTTTCACGGAGCATAAACATCTGCGGTCCACCCATTTTGCTGTGTGTATCAGTGCTGATTAGTATCGCCATGGATGTGTGCATCTCAATGTGTTTATCCATTTCTCAGTTGAGGGACATTTGGGTTGTTTCCCGTGTTTTGGTGATTATGGGTAAAGCTGTTGCAAACATTTACTCACAGGTTTGCGTGCAGACGGAATTTTAACTTCTCTTGGCTGAATGGCTAGCAGCAGGGCGGTGGGTGCCCAGGAAACGGCCAGAGCGGCTGGAGCATCCCCACCAGTGATGTATGAGGATCCCAGATACTCTGTATCTTTGCCAACACATGCTGTCGTCATTTAAAAACTCTTTTTAATAGACGTGTAATGGTATTTCATGGTGTGTGTTTTTTTAATCCTCACCCAAGGATGTGTTTTCCTTTGTTTTTTTTTTTTTAGAGAGAGAGTGGGAGGGAGGAGGAGAGAGCGAGAGACATTGATATGAGAGTGACACATCACCTGGCTGCCTCCTGCGCATGACCTGAACCCAGGTACATGCCGTTGACCGGGAAGCAAGCCTGCGACCCTCCTTCGGTGCTCAGGAAACTTATATAAGAGAGTGAAGGCGACTGATTGTAAAGATTCCTGAGGAGGAGCAAAGGGACTGGGGTCTAAAGCTCAGCCGGAAAGACATCATCTGACTGCAGACAAAGCCTTGGAGGCGGCGAGGAGGTATCAGACAGGAAGCGGGGTGTTGCTCTACTCTGCCCTCTCTGCAGTCTCAGGCCCCTTGGCCAGCAGCCCCCCCTTCCCACGGGGAGAGAGGATCCACACCTCTGAAGGGCAGAGGAAACAAGGGTGTCCCCCTGGGGAATTGCAGATGCGCCGAGAGGATGGAACGGAACATTGAGCTCATCAGGCCCAGAGGTGAGGGGGAAGGAATACAGGAAGGTAGGCAAGGAAGAGACTAGGGCTCTCTGGGGAAGGCAAGAGTTGATGGGCCTCACAGTTGCTAATTAGTGTTTGGTGTGTGTTGAGAAGTTAGAAACACTTAGTCCTATGTGGGCAGTGAGGCTGAACTGAGCCAAGCTCCAAGCTCACTAGCGACTTGGAATAACAGGGTTGAATGTAAGCAAGGGAGTCATTTGAAAGGAAAATATCACTTCTGTTGGTTGCCTCCAATCGGTTGCTTCCCCTACGCACCCCAGCAGGGGGTTCAACCCACAGCCTGGGTATGTGCCCTACCAGGAATAGAACTCATGAACTTTTGGTGTACAGGATGATGCTCCAACCCACTGAGCCACACTAGCCAGACCTCATTTCATTTATCCATCTGTCTATCTATACACTAGAATGTAAACTTCATGGGGGCAAGGTGTCTGTTCTGTCCTCTGCGCTTTACCTAGTTCCAATAAACACATGTTGGATGGGTTCTGGTGACTTTTCTCTCTCTCTCTGATCTCAATACCAACTTTAAAATATACATGTTTTTGTTGATTTTTTTTAGAGAGAGAGATAGAAAGAAACATTGAGGTGAGAAACATTGATCAACTGCCTCTTGTACGCTCCCTACTGGGGATCGAGCCCAAAACCCGGACATGTGCCCTGACCAGGGATTGAACCAACTGGGACCTCTCAGTCCATGGGAAGGCGCTCAATCCACTGAGCCACCCTGGCCGGGCTCAATACCCACTTTTTCAAAAGACTGGGGAATGCACCTGGTAATAAGAGGCTTGAAAGTGATGATGGTGAGTCCAAGGGGTGGCACTGTAATACGTTCATGAATCTCTAACATTCTGATTTTTTTCCAGCTTAACACCAAAACATCCCCAGCAACCAACCAGGCACCTGGCCCAGAGGAAAAGGGTGAGTGAGGCTGGGCTGGGCAGTGCGCCGAGCAGGTGACGGCACCTGGACATGAAGCACTGGGCCAGACGGCTGTGGCCATAGGCTCCTTCCACTTTCCCTAAAGAGAACACCTACCAATGTTCACGCTTTGGTTTTAGAAGCTGGCTCTGCAGTGGCTGGAGACGGGTGCAAGAGCGGAAGGAGCTCATCAGATGGCCCCAGCCGCTGTCTCAGTCAGAGGCTGAGGGGCAGCTGGGGACCCTGCATGAGCTCCGGGGCTCTGAACGGTGGGAGTCAGGGAAAGCGGTGAGAGAAGACAGCTGTGGCCGCGCAGGAGGAGCAAAGCTCCCGCACGACTGTAGCTACTTCTCAGCCTCGGTTCCCGACTCCGACTTCTGAGAGAGCCACAGGCTTCCCTAGTGCTGCCACACTGGGACCCACAGAGCCCGCAGGAAGTGGACCTGACCCTGCGAGGGGGCCTGGAGAAGGGGGCTGGTGACTCACTCAGGACTCTCTCTCGCAGCTGCAGGGAAAGCCGGCAATGCCAAGAAGGCCGAGGAGGAGGAGGAGATTGACATCGACCTGACCGCCCCTGAGACAGAGAAGGCTGCCCTGGCCATTCAGGGCAAGTTCCGGCGATTCCAGAAGAGGAAAAAGGACCCCAGCTCCTGAAGGGCCAGCCTGGCCCTCACCCTGCCCCCTCTCCCCGCTGCACAGCTCCGGCTCCAATGTACCTTTGTCTCTCTGTCCCTCTAGCCTCTGGGTAAGGCAAGTTCAACCCTTATCTGTTATTTTCTGTGCCCCTTCAAGCCGTCACTGCAGTAGCGGTGCAAGGAACAGGGAAGATGAAGACTTCATCTGGCAGCCACGTGCCTGAGGGTGGACCAGCTTCTCCTTGGGATGAGCCCCCTTGACCAGCACTTCTGCCCCATGAGGCTGAAGCAGAGGAGGCTTCGGGGCTGGGGAGGCCTCAATGTGGGAGGGAAGGGAAGGGCTTCGGAGTGGGGTGCCTGAGGGCATCTGCACGTTCTGCCTGTCGCCTTCAGGTGACATCTCCCCTCGCTCCCCTGCACCCCACCTCCTTTCCCTCCATGCGCTAAGCCACAGTGGGGACGGCAGCCCGCACCCTGGGCAGACCTGGGTCTAGCAGCTTCCACATCCGTGCCTGCCGGGCGGATGAGCTTCGAGGACAGCAGCAGGGCTGGGGGAGGCAGGAAGGCTCCTTCGTGTTCCAGGCTGGGACCCAGGGGCAGAGGCAGGGAGGTGGGAACTGGGGTAGATTTGGGAGGAAAGACAAGTGAAGGGGAGAAATCTCTGAGGACCCAGGTGACTGCCAGTCAGGGAGACTGTGCTCTGTGAGGGGTCCCTGGGGCTCTGCTGACCTGCCTGCCTCAACCCACCGCCCACGCCTCCCCAGAGGCCGCTCTCACCTGCCCCACTGTGGAGTCAGGACAGGATGGAATAGCCACTCTGTGTGATTTTAGCATGTTTCATAGTTACATTAAAAAAAATAACAGAACCCCCAAGTGGGGTCACTGAACCTCTCCTGTTTTTTCTTGGGAGGACTGTGAATGTTGGTCAAAGCTGGCCCCCAGGGTGTGCTGGGGTGACATGGGACAGGTGCCTGACTTTGCCTGACAGCCCACACCCTATCTGCTGCCTGGCCCTGCGGGTGCTCCCTCCCTCCCTCCCCTCAGGGAGAGCACACCCAGCCACCCTGCCCCGTCCCCACACGACCTGTCCTAGCTGTCCTTGTCCCCTTCCCTACCCACACCTGTTTATCGCATGTGGTGGAAGAAGATGACTCTGGGTCTCACTGAAGACTTTAAACCATAATAAAATGATGGCTTCCAAGTGAGTTTGCATTGTTGAGGCAAGACCTCTATATATCGAAACCAGAGCCACGCACTTGAAAGTCAAGCCAGGACCATCTGTCTCCCGCCCTGTCCTCACTTCTCAGTGTTCACTTTCCTGTTTCTTTTTTTTAAATCCTCACCCGAGGATATTTTTCATTTATCTTTAGATAGAATGGGAGGAAGAGAGAGAAACATTAGTATGAGAGAGACACATCGATTAGTTGCCTCCCATGTGACCCCAACCAGGACCAGGGACTGAACTGCAACTGAGTACGTGCTCTTAACCGGAATTGAACCCGTGACTCTTTGATCCATGGGCTGATGTGCCAACTGCTGAGCCAAACTGGCCAGGGCACACCCTTTCTTTCTTTTTAAAAAGAAATATATTTTTTTCTTTATTGATTTTATTTTATTTATTTATTTTTTTATCCTCACCCGAGGACATTTTCCCATTTTTTTTGTTCAGATAGAGTGGGAGGGAGAGAGAGAAAGAGAGAGAGAGAGAGAGAGAGAGAAACATCAACGTGGAAGGTACACATCGAGTGGCTGCCACCCACACAACCAACCAGGGCCGGGGACAAACTGCAACCGAGGTATGTGCCCTTAGCGGGAACCGAACCCGGGTCTCTCTGGACCGCAGGCCAACGCTCTAACCGCTGAGCCAAACCAGCCAGGGCTCTTTATTGATTTTAGAGAGAGAGGAAGGGGGAGGATGAGAGAGAGGAAAATTGATTGGCCGCCTCCTACATGCCCCCCCACTGGGGATTTGGCCCACAACCTGGGTATGTGCCCTGACCAAGAATCAAAGTGGTGACTTCTTGGTACATGGGTTGATGATCAATCACTGAGCCACACCAGCTGGGCATACCCTTCCTTTCTTGATTCGAGAATGAAGAATTTTCCCTGGCTGGTTTGGCTCAGGGGTTGCAGCATAGGACTGAAGGATCTCGGGTTCAATTCTGGTCAAGGGCACGTACTTAGGTTGCAGGTTCAATTCCCAGCCCGGTCCAGGTCATGTGAAAGGCAACCAATTGATATATCTCTCTCACACTGATGTCCCCCCCCCTTCCCTTCCACTCTCTCTAAAAATCAATGGAAATGTCCTTGGGTGCAGATTTTTAAAAAATAATAATTTTAAAAAATGCAGAAGTTAAAACCATGTCACAGCTATGAATAGGAAACCAGGCCAATATGCCTGGCAGGGCACCTCCTATAGCACAAAGTTTACCAAGGCCTACAAGCCCCGGCTATAGGAGGATTGAACACTAAGTCACAGGAAGACCCTGTGTTCCTGGAAGCACCTTCTCCTCCTGGGTGGAGAAGAGGAAGTTTTACACTAGGAATCCGTTCTCAGTGCAGTCTAGTATTGACGGTGGCTTTCAGTCCTGGCCTCATGGGCAGAAAAAGGATACTCATTGCCACACCTGGTGTGAGTCCAGGATGTCTTGGTAAACAGGAGTAGCCCTGTTCCTTCAGTACACGGGAGGGAAACCTAGGCTCCCACTCCTGGTGAGGTGGGCTCTGGCAGCTGGCTGGCTCCATCGCCAGCCCTCACCTGCGGGCTCCAGCGCCGGCCCTCTCCTGCGGGCTCCAGCGCCGGCCCTCTCCTGCGGGCTCTATCGCCGGCCCTCTCCTGCGGGCTCTATCGCCGGCCCTCTCCTGCGGGCTCTATCGCCGGCCCTCTCCTGCGGGCTCCAGCGCCGGCCCTCTCCTGCGGGCTCTATCGCCGGCCCTCTCCTGTGGGCTCTATCGCCGGCCCTCGCCTGCCCTCGCCTGCGGGCTCCAGCGCCGGCACTCTCCTGTGGGCTCCACTGCCCGGAGGAGGATTCGGTACTGAAATGGGTTTTTTCCCCTTTCGCATATCTTGCTCCAAAAGTGTTACACTTGTCCTCATGCATATTTTAAGGAAAGGACACGGTAGCAAACAGGCTGTAGTTTGGGGAAAGATAGTTCTAAATGGAGAGGGTAGGCCTCCTCTGCAGAACCGGTGGTCATTCTCAGCGAAGGTTCTGCACGTGTCCTCTCTGCCTGCTGCCCACTCTACCACAGGGTGCTGGAACGGAGCCTCTCTGCAGCCTGCCACTCTGGGAGCCCTGGAACCCGTGTCTCTCCCCATCCCTCCAGTTCCCACCACTGGGGACAGGATCCTGAATACTGATCGCTAAAGAAAGGCTTTGTTTTGTGAGCAGAGCCCGCACATCTTGGGGGGGCGGGGTGAATGCTCCCCCACCACATGCTTCGCAGAAGAGACGGGTGCTAGACACAGTCATGGAAAACGGCAAAGGCAATGATCATGTCTGTGTCACTGATCTCTGTTTCGTGATGTCCCAGCTGTGCGGGGGGCAGAGCTGGGCATGCAGTCCTGAGCAAAGTGGAGAGGTCTGGAGGTCTGCGCAGGGGGGCTTCAGAGTCCATTCCCAAAGCCCAGACTGGGAGATGATCTTAAGAGAAAGGTCACTGAAGGGAGACAAGGATCCTGCTTCCCGGACAACCTCCTGCCAGGGACGGGGTTTCGCTGACCTCTCCTCAGTCCTGCCCCAACAGGGAGTCAGCTTTTCCCACCAGGGTCTCTTCTGTCTCTTATTCTTGCCTCCAGCCCTGCCCTCGTGCCCTTCAAGGGAGCTCCCTTGGCCCACCTCTGCCCCGGCCCTCTCGCCCTGGCTGGGTTTCCACCCTCGAAGCTGTTTGCACTGCGGGTGGCCCCTGGAAGCCTCCTCATCCCTGCTGGGCTTGGCTCCCACAAACCGGTCCTCCCTGGAATCACTCCCCTCCACCTTCCCTCCAAGTGTGAACCACAGCCTGACACGGATTCGCACACAGCGCGAGCCCACTGGACGTTTGCTGATGTTTGGACGTGTCTTGTGAGCCTGCTTCAGAGTTCAGTCCTTTGCCTGATGTGAGCTCATAAAACCAGCTCCTTAGCCGAAGCCAGCTGGGAGCGAGGGGCGAGGAGGGGCGAGGGAAGGGCCGGGCTTGTTCCCAGAAGAAAGAAGCAACTGGAGGTGACGGCAGCAGCTTCTGGAAATGTCAGTGTTTATTAAACATAAAGGACTATTGAGGGTTTGAGAAGAAATATACAGAACGTAGAAAAATCCTAAGAATCCCCTGTGGCTGGGAGTGTAGCCTCTTCCCTTTCCCCCTATTTCCCATTTGTTTTTCCTCCTTTTGTTTGGTTGTTTAAAAGCCATTTCTTAAGGCTCATTTGCCCCCTCTTCTCCAGCCCTGACCTGTGAGGATACATTGTGTCTCTCCTTCCCCATGACCTTGAGTCCCAGAACAGTGCTCCAGAGTGGTCAGGGGCACCAATCCTGCAGCTGAGGTTTGAGGGTCAGGGGCCCCTCTGCTTGGGCTGGCTCTCCGCGAAGGACTTAATGGGGGTGGGGAATTACAAAATCCACATGACGTCATTGGTACTCAGTCATGGGGGGCAGAGCAAGGGCACAGCTAAACAAACAAACAAGCATGGTTTAAAAAATAAAAATAACCACCTAAGTAAACCCTGAAGGGGAGGCTGGTCTGGATGATCCAGGTGTTAGCTGGGAGGACACAGTATGGAGCTGGACCACCTGGCGGAGGGCAGGGTCACAGAGGGAGGAGGCCGGGGGACAGGCTGGGGGTGCAGGGGTGGGGTGCAGGTGGCCTGGAGTCGAGGCGTGGGGTAGCAAGGTCCCTTTCTTCTCGGTGCCGGAGGCACAGGCACCAAACACACAGTCCTTGGGGGCGGTGCAGGGTAGGATCAGGCCCTGGACTCCCAGAAAGCCAGGGGGTGAAGGTGGGGGAGAATATGACGTGCCTGGGGAATGAATTTTGGAATGAAACTTACATCTCAGAGGGAAGTGAGGGCAGGGCAGGGCAGGGCTGGGGCTGAGGAGGAAGCACCTAGACGTGAGAGGAGCCTAGGTACCCCAGCTCTGGCAGGGCCCGGGGCTGGTCACTTGTCCGAGTCCAGGCCCATCATGTTCTTGAGGGCGTTCTTGAGGCTGGTTCTGCTGGGGGACTTGACAGCAGGCCTGAGCTCGGCGCTCTGCTCATCCTTTCGAAGCTCCATCTCGATGACCACCACCTGAGCGCCTTTGGAAGACTCCGCCCCTGGCCCCCGAGCCCCCGCCCGGCCCGCTAACCGCTATTTCTTATCCTTGCGAGACTCCCCCAGCCCCTTGGACTTCTTCTCACTGGCCGCTCTGGTGCTTCTGCTGTGGTCCAGCATGGCGTACAGCACCGGCGTCTGGGGAGGGGCGCAGGTCAGTCACCGGGCCCACCCTCACTCTGCCGTGCGGCGCCCCGGCTGTGCTCCCCAGCGGTCCAGGCCCCAAGCCCCGCTCACCTGCCGGCCGCGCTTGGACGAGTCCTTCCCGGCCTTGTGCAGTTTCCCCTTCTCCATGGCGCTGCGGGGAGACGGGGGCTGTGGGTGGCCCGCCAGAGCCCCTCGCAGGCGCCGCAGCCCCGTCCCTTCCGCCCCCCGCCCGCCCGCCGGAGCGCCCGGCCCTCACCTGAGCCTCCTCTGCAGGGTCGCCTGCCTGCGCAGCCAGCAGTACCGGACCAGGTAGTACAGCAGCAGTAGCAGGAGCACCCCGCCCAGCACGCCCCCGATGACGGCGCCCAGCACCACCCCGTAGCGAGTTGGCACTGGAGGGGAGGCCAAGAGTGAGGACCAGCCTGGGCATGGGGCACCGGGCCTCTCCCCCGCCACCCAGCCCTCCGACCCCGCCCTGTCCAGCCTCCCGGCCCCGCCCTCTCACACCTTTTTCGAAGACGTAGAGTGTGACCTGGGAGGTCTTTCCCACTATGTCTGGTGGGTTCTTGACGTCACAGGTGAAAGTGCCGTTGTCGCTGTAGTCCAGATTGTGGATGACAATGGAGCCATCCTTCCAGCGAGGGTCCCCTACCCACTGGATGCGCTCCTTGAAGGCTCCCACCTCGTCGATGTAGGGCTGTCCCTTGGCATAGTGGAAGATCTATGAGGAATGAGGGGACGCCTTAGTTCTAGCTCGGGGAGGAGATCCTGGGCTGGAGATGAAGCTAAAGTCTCTCTCGACTCTGGGTAGTGCTGGGGTGGGGAGCAGTGCAGACAGGCCCGAGTTGGGGTGACAAAGATTGACACTTACTTTGACAAAAGTTGGGGTCATGGCTCATAAAGGATTTCCCCCTCCTTAGCCCATGTTCTCGGTTCTGTGGTCCCTGCGGCACCCTTTCTGTGAGCCCGCCCCAGGAGTCCCCTCCACTCACCGAGATGGCATCGCGGCCCCCTTCCGGCTGGTAGCGCCAGGTGAAGGAAATGTCATCTGAGACCCACTCGCTGGACCAGAAGGAGCAGTGCAGGGTCACTCGGGAGCCCACCGCGCCGTAGACCTCCCTGTCCGTGTAAACCACGATGGCCTGGGCCGGGGATAGCACTGCGAACACAGAGGGGAATCAGGTGTGCACGTGGCCCCGCAGGACAGAGAGGTGAGGTCAGGAGAGGTCCAGGCCACTCGGGCATAGCAGAGACGGAGGCAGAAATGATCAATTCTGAGGCCCGTCTGGGACTCTGAATAGCTGAGCAAAATGCTGTGCTGGTCCAAGCTGGTCGGGTGTCTAAGAGGGAAGGAGATGAGCAGTGACCATTCCCTGGAGGACGACCAGGAACTGGAGTTTGTCTCCAAGCCTCTTTCCCTTGGGCTCAGGACTGAACCCTTAAGCTACCCCTGTGATGCATACTTTATAGTTTTTAAATTTATTATACATGATACAGGCAATACACATTACATTCCTCTTGTAAATTATTCAAGCAATAGAAATAAAGCTAAAGTCTCTCTTGATGTTCCCCGACCAATTCCTTTCCCGTTGTCCCCTCCCAGATATAACCAGTTGTCAGTTTAACGTGTAGCCTTTTTCTCTGAATTAAACTCAATGAAAATTTAAACTCAAGATATGCAGGTACTTCTGCCTATGTATTAAAAGAGAATACACGTGGGGGTTTCCGTGTTGATTCACAGAGACCATCTTGTTTTTAGAAGCTGCATAGTACTTCACAGCACAGAAAAATCAAATTTCCTACAGGAAAAAAAAAGAAAAAAAAGAATATAACTAGAGAATATAAGTCTTCTTCCCTGGCCCAACTGTCCTCACTGCTGAATCTCTTGTTGCCATACAGCCCTTGACTGTGGGATCAGGGAGGAAAGACTCTCATACAATACCCAGGAGAAGCTGGGTACGGAGCAAGACCCCAAGCCCAGAGCTCAGATGACTCTAAGTGTGAGCCCTCTGAGATTCGACCATTCTCACCCTCCTCTTGGCCATTCTGGGCCAGTGCCACGCCCAAGACTCACCCACACAAGGAAGGTCATTCCAGGGAGATTATGTGTGTGGGCTGGCCCTGGATGGGGGCAACTGTAGACCCTTTTGTTCTACAGGAGAGGGAGCAAGCAGCTAAACAGAGAGACCCACTGTCTGAGCAATGTTGGGGGCTCATGCCACCCCCACTTAGTACTGAATCTCCCACCTTAGTATGCAATATCATGGACTTGCTTCCTGGGACCTCCGCCTTGGAGCCTTCTTGGGAATCCCAAGTGCAACAAGGAAAGTTATTCATTGGGTCTACCTTCTGTCCTCCCTGCTCTAATGTCAGTCACTGCCCTTCAGCTCTTCCCAGTGAGTGGGACAGGTGCTGGGACAGAACTCTCTCCCTTACACTTCAAGATTCCCTCCCTCTTCCCATTCCCTCACCATGCCCTTCTCCAACATTTTCTCAGGGTACCCAGAATAGTTCAGTACAGCCCAGAAGAGTCTAGGTTCAGGTTGAGGACTCAAGAAGCCGACAGCAGAGAACAACCTTGGACATTCTGAGCAGCCCCTGCCCCTTTGCCTGCTGCTCCAGGACAGTTTGGAGAAGGCAAGGGTCCACTTAAATAACCCTGCTTTGACCTTCTCTTGCTCACCCAACATCTACCACAGGGCAAGGAATGGGTTGATCAACTTATGAAGGAAGACAGCTTTTGATGAAAATCCTAGAATCTCATAGACCCTTCCTCCTATTCCTTTTGCCCACATAGTAGACAACAGATCCACAGAGAGAGACTGAGGAACCAGGAGGCAAAGGACCCAACGAGCTGGGACCACAAACCTGGGACATTTCCTTAGATCTTAATCCCTGGTTTTTTCCTTCAGGGACAGTAAGGGTTGGTACCTCCCGACTAGGAGATAAGTAGGGACCAGAAGCCAGGTGTCTGATTCTGGTCCTTATCTTGCTCTAACATTGCCTCCCCCAGGCCCTCAGCATGGCTCTGGGGCATGTTACTGGTTTCCAACCTGGGTCTATTCTGGTCCACCTCAGGGAAGCTTTCTATATCCTTTTTTTACCTTCTCTCTTCACAGAATACCTTTATGCCTTCCTCCAAACTATATGTTTTTTCTCTGAATCTAATATCCCCATCCTGCTCCTTCTCGCTCTCTGGTTGCAGTGGGCAGAGCAGGGCAGGCAGCGGGGAGTTTGCTGGGAGAACCTGAGTCCCAGGACCCCCAGGCTGGGGTGGCTCCACTTACCCAAAGAGAGGAAGATCAGCGCAGCCAGAATAGGCCTGGGGCTGGACGAGGGAGCCCCAGGAGCCATAGCTGGGGCAGGGTCTGCGGGGTTGGGAGAGTGGGGGATCACGAACTGAGCGGGGGTTCCTGGAACCCGCTTAAAATCCCCTGTGGCCCCAGTACGAGGGGGCTGTCCTGAGCCAGTAACCAATTGCAGCCTGGCATGTGCAGTTGAGAGGTGGTGAGGAGGGGGACAGAGTGCAGGGAGCAGAAGGGGCATTGTGTCCTCTGGGTGGAGAGGTGGGGGACACATACCACCCCATACACAGAGGGCTTTGTGTCTGCTGGCCTCCCCCTGACCTAGGCTGGAATGTTGGGGGGGTGGTGAGGGAGAGGGACAGAAAAAGGGGCACAAACACACTTCTCTGAGGGATAGATGGAAAGGGGAACTTGAATCCTAAGGACATGAAAAGGGGATTCCTCCCTAAACCCCTTGCCTGAGATGACTTCCTCAGAGCCCTGGGAGCTACAGGCAGGTTTCCCAAGAGAACTTGGAAAGTAGGATGTCCACTGTTACCTTGACAACTATACGTTGTATCACAGGCTTCTTGAGATGACCAGGTCCTTTGAGAATCTTTTATTTTACCCCATCTCCTTGCTACCTGGGTGATTCTTCCCAGATGGAAACTTTTGTCCCCTGGAAAATATCCAGGAAGAACCTCCTACCTTCTCCCTCTTTGTCAGGGAGTCCTTCAGTGTCTCGCTGCAGCTGAAGCCCATTTCAAGTTAGAGCAAGTCAACAAAACCATACTGGGTGCAGCTAGTGTAAAATGCGGGCATGCGGGTAACAGAAGAATAAAACGAAGTCCCTCCTTCAAGGAGTTCAAAACCTAGTTTGGGGAGGCAGAGAGAGGAGGATCCGAGGACAAACCCATCCACATCCACCTATAGTAGACCATGACGTTTGCTATAGAAGAAAGATGAACAAAGTGCTGGGAGTACCAAGGAGGCTGCAGCAGCACGGAGACTATTATGTAACAGAGATTGAATTTTTAAAACTTAATAAATGAAGTTCAGAGGAAGGGGAGTCATTTCTTGAAGGCAATATTAGCTGTGGACCAACCCTGAAGGATGTGTGCCATTTTGAAAAGGAGAAATGTACCCAGGTAGTGAGAGTATCTAGGAAGGTAGAACAGCAAAAGCAGAGACAAAGAGGTAAGAACGTGTGTGTGGTGTGTGTGTATCCACTTTGACTTGATTTGGGGGAACCTGAACGGGCACCATAGGAAATGAGTCTGTACATGAAAGTTGAAGCCAGTTTTCATGGGCCTTAACATACAGACTAAAGAGGGTGGATTTAATGTACATTCTAAGAATTTCCTGAACATTTTGGGGTAATGTTTGAGGTTAATGATGGTAGTGTCTATATGCTCACAGCTGAGTTTTAAGACAAATCTGGACAGAAAAATAATTCGGAGCAGAGCTCTCTTGATGGTCGCTTTCTTTCTTGGAACCATCTGAAATGATTTTGCTTTTCATGGAACATCTCTGGATCTCAGGCCGACGCTCTAACCACCGAGCCAAACTGGCCAGGGCTCATGGACCATCTCATGTTTTCCCTTCTCTCTTCCCCTGCCTTTCTCTCACTCCAAGGCTTGGATAGATTCTGCTTCCCCTCCTGCTTATTTTTAAGATGAGCCCTGGTATTAAAGGATTGACTTAATGTTCAGTTTGAATTTCAGTGTAAATCATTTCCATCAATTATGGGCTCTGGAGGTTAACTTGAGTGGAGAGGTCACTTATTCCTGGGCCACTGCAGGCTCACCGGTGAAGCCACAGCTCCGGGTGCCTTACTGGCATCTCCTTATACCACAGTCTTGGTGGGTTCTGTGATTAGTAATAAATTTGCATTATGGAAATGCAAAATAGCATCTTCATTTGATGAAGAGACAACTGAATTTATGCTATTTAAGTCCTGAAAGGAAAGGTGCAGGAGACTAATACACATAAGGCTTGAATAGTAATGGCCTGAAGATGTTTCACTGTGGAATAGGAGCTGTCTGCGCGGTCCCCGTCACTCCTCCTCCTGTCCCCTTCCCCCAGCGAGAGACTCATGAACTTTTCGCGCTCTGTTCCTTTCCCACTTTCTCCCCGAAGTCCTAAGTGTCTCTGGAAGTGACTGCTGTGCTTGGGTTCCTCAAAACTCTTCATCTATATAAAGTCAAAGCGGGTTCTCCCCACCCCACCCAGGTTCTTCTGGCCGTGGGTGTCACCCACAAGCCCGAAACGAGGGACAAAAGAGCGTTGTCCTCGGTTAGTGGGCGTCTAGTGCAGGCACCGGGCTGTGGGACGTTCGAGGAGCTCAGGTCCTGGAGCGGTGGTCTGCGAGTTCTCCCCCACGGCCTGTGCTCTCAGCCAGGGTCTCCTCTCGTGCATCTCTGTGCAGCTGAGGCCGCTCGTGAGAACGGGAGGGCAGCGCAGCGGCTACCAGGCCCCGCCCGATGCCGCGGGGTGGGGGTGGGCACGCAGACCGGCAAGTCCTCGGGAAGAGTCTGGGCCGGTCCTCGGGGCAGCGGTTCGAATCGACGCAACCTCGGGGAGAAGTCGGCCGCGGGGCGGGGCGGCCCTGCCCACCAGGCCGCACCCCTCGCCGTCCGGACACCGCGGAACCGCAGCGGCTCCGACCCTTTTATACAGCCCCGCGGTCACGTGACGGAGGCCCCGCCCCGCCTCCACGACGGGGCGGGGCGTCGTCGTCACTTCCGACCAGGCCGGGAAACAAGATGGCTGCGCTCTTGCTGAGGTGACTTTCGTGTGGGGCTGGGAGTCGGCGCGGCGGCCCTCGGGAGACCCGCGGCGGCCGCTGGCATCTCGGTGGCGGCTGTCACCCTGCGCCCGGCGGGGAAGGCCCGTGGCTGCGGCCTCCGCCGGGATCCCTGCGACCCCTGCCGGCCTCCCGGGGCGTGGGGTCGTCGGCCCGCTCGGCCTACGTGCGGGGGGCGCGCGGCCCCCGTCTGCTGCCCCCACCTCTGCATTCGCCCCCAGCCCCCCTCCGCTGCACCGCAGCCCGGCTCCGAGAAGGCCGAGCAGGCCCACCGCGCAGCACCTCTGTTCAGGGGCCCGGGGTCCGAGCCGGCCGGCGGGCAGCGGGGGTTTGGCGGTGGGGGAGGGGAGGCCCGCCGTGAGTTCCACGACAGCGAGGGCGAGGCGCAGGAAAGCGGGGTACGCCTGCGGCTCGCAGAGTCAGCGGGCGCTGCGTTCCGACGCTTGGAGATCCTTTGTAGGGGTTGGGCCGGGTCGGGGAGATCCTGGTGGCCTTGGCCTTTGCTCTTGCCCCTGCGAACGCCGGCTGCTGGCCTGCGTGGGCTTCGGCCGCGGGTCGGGAGGCCTGGACTCCTGCGGGCTGGCGGCTCGCAGGGCGGAGGAGTGGGTGCAGCCCCGGGCGTTCGGTTTTAGTTTTCCTGGGGGAAGGAGGGGTGGATGTCCCAGTTCTTCTCCACAGCGTCCATTCCTGTCCACGGGAACACCGTAGGTTTCCTCCCACTGACACCGTCCAGGCCTCGTCCCCTACTCAGCCGTTGCAGCAGAGCGATGTTAGTGGCTCGACACACTCCTGGTACAAATCCCAGCAGAGCTTAGTGCCAGCCCTATTTTTGGAAACTGTGTGTTATGGAAAGTTAGCTTTAATGCTGTTGAGATTTAATTCCTGCTTTACCCAAATGCCTCCTCATTTCTGTTTCCACTTAAGTCACCCAGTATAAAAATAGAGGGACTTTATTTAGTTTTTTCTTTGTTGACAAAATGATTCCTTTTGGAGTTGAGATCAGGAATGGGTTATCTTAATCCTTTCTTTTTCTTCCTGCTTCTCATTTCCCAATGAATCCTTTCCCCCCCCTAAGGTATGCCCTGCCCAGTCTTGCCAGGACCGTCTCTTATTCCCGGTAGTTTGACCATAATTGAATGCGTTCAGATTCTTTGATAGAGCATTGTTTGGTGGTGGTCAAGGGCTTTTGGAGGAATTAACATTTAGTTTGAAATGATCTTACTGGCTCTAAACCGTTTATTTGAGGAGTTTCAAGATCAGGTTTAGAAGCTGAGGATTATTATACTCACAAACTGTTTAGACATCATTTTCAGTTCTGTAGGACTGTTACCACCAGGATTCAATGCCAAGAAGTAGACCTTTTCATTAGTGGTAATCCAAGGCTCTCATAGAGGGCACTTCTCTGTTCATTTCTCACAATGGATTTTATAGGAGGGTTTTTAAAAATAAAATACTCCTGATGAATTTTCAGTTCTAATTCACTTCACTGGAGGGGTTTGGAACAGTTTATAATATGCTGATTTAACCTCAAAGGAAAATACCTTCTAAGAAATTGGGACTGGTTGCTAGTTCTGGTGTCAGTAATTAATTCCATTTATGTTGGACAAGCCAAGGTCAGTGGTTCCACGATTGTGGATCCCTCCTTTGTGAGAAATACTAGCTAAACCTTTTTAATACTTGGGTAAATATTAGTTATCAGAGTACTGTATATCATGGCTTTTGAATAGTGCTCTATATTTTGTATACTTCCTAACCAGTTCATGGATTAGCCAGCGACAAATAACCAGCAGAATAACACAGACTCCGTTGGCACTTGGTCAAGGAATGACTTGCCAAAGCCAAGGCAGAGATAGAGACAGAGAACAGCTAGGCTTCTTCACCTGACAGTATTCATGCTGCTTAAGCCCAAAGTCATCAGGAATCATTAACCTGGTCGTTACCCAAACTAGATTTTACATGTGAAACATTTCCAAAAAATGTTTAAGTCTGTATTTGTAAGACTGCTTTTAAAAATAAGCATGCTCATTCACAGACTATTTTCTTGAGCCTCTTCTATGTGTCAGACATTGTTTATAGGTGCAATAGATGCACAGTACTTCAGTCCTATCCCTGAGGAGCTCAAAGTCTAGCAGAGGAGATACATACACAGATTAATTATTAAACAACTATAATACATGTTGATATAGAGAGATAAACAAGTGGTATAGGATCGTAAGTGTAGTAGATGAGGCTAAAAACTGGTGAAGTTGCCATCCAGGTGTTGGGTGTTGAAGGATGAGTTTATCAGGCTGTGAGGGAGGTTCCA